GCTTGGTTTTCATCAACCTGAACAACTGATATAAGATTAGTTAACACCTCTTGCTCATTTTAGTGTTGTGACTTCGAAATTCTTCAATAAGAGCAGATGTGAAAGGAAGTGTTTGTTATGTGAAGTGCAGAGTCGGAATAAACCAAATGAACTAAGGCTTATTACTCATGTTCATCTAGCTTACTGGGTTTTGGTAAATTTGTTTTATTTTTTGGTACTGAGTGTTATACCTATTTTAGCGAACTGTTTCGGTTATTCGTTGTTTTTATAGTGCATGCATATATTTGTAGGAAACAGTGAAACCATCCTCGGGGACAAAGTTTCTACAAACAGACTGTTGTAGTTTAGCAGTAAGGAAATTACAGTACAGTTATTTGTTCCCGGCAGTTCTTGATATATATCACGGTATGGGAAAAACTTATCATATAACAATGCCGGAATGTGAATGGGATTTTCTTTGCAAGGTTTTAAAAACTTTTTATCGATTTTACTGATTGTGCTGCAGTAACTGACTTTTTTTTGCACCTTTTTTGTAATTTTAGCGTCAGCCAAATCTCTATTGTCAACGGATATGCTTAAAAGCCAATGAAAGTCCAAGACTAGGTTCAGGTAAAACCTTAACCGGTGGGGAAGAATAAAGCGAGATCACTTTACTACTCCTCCATAGCTCAACAGTTAGGACGTTGTCACCTTCTGTAGCTGGATTTTGTTATGGTTGATGATATTTAAACCAAGTTGTGGTTTGTCACCAGACTGAGAAGCAACTATACGCTGACTGTTGTTTGTTAGAAAAAAAAAGTAAAGCTTTAATTTTAACCTAAGATGGTACGGTAAGAAAAAAGTACAATCTCTCTATATTAAAACTCTCACAGTTACATCTGTCACGTTATCAACTTTTACACTTGTTGCTTTACTTTTCAGGACTTTGCACTCTTGCCTTTGGTCTTATATACCTATATAACAAGATTGATCATGCTATAGAAATATATATTTCATACCATCTCCCTGATGCATTTCTTCATGGTGCCATTTTTTCTTTGAAAGAATGCCCAAACATAGCAAGAATGAAGAATGCAAATGTTTTAATGTTACTAAACACTGAAGTTATCATCTTTGCGGATAGTTTCTGTTTGAAAGCTCTCAACCAAAAGGGAGGAAAATTGTGGGTTATTGAGTACCCTTTATAGGGGATTAAGAAAGATGGTTGCGAGCCAGGGGAAAGAACGGTTACCCAAAAATTATTTTTGCTGCTCTATCTGTTCCATGATTTTGCTATAATTCTAACTACAATTTGAGAGGTTTTGCAGGAGTAAAAGATCTGCTCTTTTCTTTCTCTTTCTGCCTCCCATTCTCTATTTTTTGTCGACTCTAGAAACCAAGCAATCTATGATAGTTGTCTTGAATTGTCGCTTTAACTCAGTACTTCTACTTTTTTTTGTGGGATAATATTGCTTGTTTTAAAGTCCCGAAAAACTAATCCAGTTTTTATTTGACTTCTGCCTGAAAGGTTCACACTTGCAAAAACTGAACTTTTTAAACCATTTAATCAACACCGAAAACGACTTTTAGCGAAAATGAAGAAGGGAGAGGAGGGAGAACGAGACAGACCCTACTGAAGGTGTCGGGTTTTGAAAGTACTCAGTATGCCATGAAGTGTGTTATAAAACTAGTCCTGTTTCATCTAAATCACTCAAGTAACGACTGGAATAACTAAAAAAGAGAAATATATACCAGTTGAAAGACCGGTAATTACAGTAACGGCAGTTCTTCTCGCACTGATTTAATAGCGTGTGAGATTTTCGTGAGAAATTGATTATACTTATCCATTCTTCAGTTAACATTTTAGAAATGGTAATTGTCTTCTGGGACTTTCAGGAAAATCTATTGTTTGGTAGATTCTTTTCTAAGAAGTCGAAATGCACAAAGAAAGTACAGTATACAGCACCTTGTGAAACGTACAGAAGACAATGGTAGTTTTTCTCACAATTTCAGTGGTATTAAAACCTAGACCGGAAACTACTACTAGTCCTCCATTAACAGTTTTGAAATACTTAGATAATGGAAGCTGACCAGTAAAAATTTCACACCTTTTGTTATGATACCTGTTATATGTGTAATACGCGTTACATAGATGATGACAGTAATCATACATTTGTGTACTCAACGATGGGAAGTGAGGTGTCAGATAAAGTTTTGCTGTAAAACGTTTTGTATATTTACCCTTATAACATGTGCCGATGAGTTTCAGCCGTTTCTTTTACCTACAAAGCAATTTGAAATATGCATATGTGACATGCGATTCAATTAGGAGGAGCAGTGTAGTTCGTGCTTTTGTTACTGACACTTCAAAAGCGAATAAGTTAGCCATTTCAGATCGGAAAAAATGAATTAAGATTAATAATGCGACTGAAGTGTTAGGTAACAGTGTAATGACAACTGATACTTACAGGTTCTGGAATCAGTAATAATAAGACAAAAATGGTATACAAAACGTACCAAAAAGATTCCAGTAGCTTTTTTATTTTGGTTAACTTCTCATAATTCGTTTTGCTGCATAAAACTTTTCATGCTGCTATCAACAGGGATTGTATTTAAGTATATTTTTTTAAAAAATTTTTAGACAAGTCTGAAACAAGTCTACGAAGTTTGCTAGGTAACTTTTACGTTTTTATTTAAAATCCACTGTGGATAAATCAAGTCTGTTATATTTTGTATGTTTTTCAAAGCTGTGAAACAGAACCTTAACAAGACTTTACGGAGAACACTTTCATACAAGAAGCATCAAAAAAGACTTGTGTTATCCTGTACTGATGATTAGGCAGGTTGGCAGAACGATTACAATATGACGCTTGCGAAAGCATCATTCTTCGTTAGTCAAAACTGCATTTTGATGCTTCTTTGAGACGCTCTTAAAAGAAAGAAGATGCCTCTAAAAAATGCCGTCTTTTTAAATGAAGTGTGAAAGACAAGTAAAATAAAAAACTTCGCAGATTTAATCAAGTCAATATTTCTTAATAAATGTAAATAAAAATTATTTTGAAGAAAAGACTAAGAACTCCGGTTATATGAGTAAAAGACAGACATAAAGTAAATTGAGTGCCGGATAAATCGAGACCTTATTAAAAAAAAAAAGCATGAGAATGAAAGCTTTCGTTTGCTCACATTATTATGTTACCGAGCCCCACTTTTACAACACTCACACAGTTATTCACAGTGTATTTCATATCTCTATAATTCATGTTGAGCAGTCAGCCCGTTATTTTCCTTCTGAAGGCTTGCTGACCCGAGATAGAAATCCTGTATTACCCGCCCCTTTGGAGGACGCGTCCCGTTCAGACCTCTAACTTGGATGAGTACCATCTGTGGTAAAAAGATTTATGTAAGATACATAAAGATAATAATACGTGTTAATTGCTGTTACAGTATAATACAGGTACCCGGGTCACTTTCCATCTCTAATCTGGATATTCTAGTTTTGCAATTTATGTGGCAAAATGCTGTCGTTTTGTAAGAGCCCATAATAATCTTTTCAGGAGCCTTGAACTGTGATAGTTTGAGACTGCTACTTTTTAGCAATCTACGTTTTTTTCTCATTTTTTAGTATTCGACAAAGAACTCTTAAATGTTTTTATTGAGTTGGAAATTATTTTGCTTCCTCATAAACAAATTTTCTCAGGAATACATTTCAGCGTTTGACTGCATCTTTCTGATGTTATACTCTAGCGAATTATTTAGATGCGTAGTTTTATTACTAATTTAACAATGCATAGCGTTCAATTGTCTCATTCAGAACCCTTATTTTGCTCACTATCAGCAAAAGGTTTCAGAAATTGTAGTTTTAACAACTGAATTTAACAGCTAGCAGTACTTGATGGAGAAAGCAATTGCACAACTGGATTCACTCGTTACAATGTCTTACAGGGATTCATTTTCTGATACTAATAGTGAAAGTCGGGCAGCCAGCACTGAGTAAGTCTTTACGTTCAATTTTTACAGTTGTCATTTAGTTTTTCAAGAGTTTTTTCTTTTTAAATCAACTTAAAATGTACTAATTTCTATGACGACTTGTTTTTGTCAATCATTCCTTGCTAAGTCGCAAACGTATATTACAACTTAAGAACCGTGCGTTAAAGGTTTTAAATTTTTTCTATACTATAAAATGATTTTTTTTTTGGTTTACCTTACAGTTACTGTTGCATTGTATTCAGAGCATCAACAAGCACTACCATAGAGGACGTTCTGGAAATTTGTCAGGAACAGTCCAAGACGATTCGCGAACTTAATCAGGAAAATATGCAGCTACGTGATACTGTGAGGATGATGACGTTATGAGTCTTTATCTTAGGTTGTCATAAGCCGCCAAAACTTCCACAATTTCTACTCGGCTGCTCTATACTTCGTTCTTTCTCTGCCACTTGTGTCTTCATTCGCTAATAATGTCTTCACAATAGTAGTTTCATTCTTCTATTTTTATAATTAGACTTGTCTTCCAGAACCTTAATCAATTATGTTCATAGGTTCGTCAGCTGAAACTAGCTTTAAATTACTCTCACGAGCTTCATGCGACAGCTACTTCTGATAAAAAAGCTGCATGTAATGCTCTTATCGAACTGGAAAGGCAGCTGGAAATGGCTTTGAGGGAGAAAAAAGCACTTGACGAAGGACTACAAAATGCCAGTAAACTTCTTGAGGAGCTTAGAAATAAGTCAATTATGGATAAAAGAAAATTAGAACAAACTCAGTCAATGTACGACGAACTAAAAGAAAGGTAAATTTTTATTTATTACACAGGGCAGACCACTTTTATAGCTCTAAAGAACAGTTTTGAGAGTCAATAAAATTTTTACGCATAACTGCATTAATCCATTAAAATTCAAATGATCGTAATATCTGACCAAAACTAGAAAAATTGCAGTTGTTATTTAGAGGAACATACAAAATAAGGTTAGGTTTTAATTAATTTTCCAATTTTTAGGTACGATGTGTTTCAGAAACAGTGCAGTTGCAGGAAATCCCCGTCTCAAATGTCAGATTTTATTCGCAATGAACTACGGCCGGTTGCCCAAATGAGTCCAGATGGATATATTTTTCGGCCTAATCTGCTGGAAGCTACAGTAAGTTAAAAACTTCAAACAAAAAGTTTTTTTCAATTTTTAAGCACATTTTTGACTTAAAAGTCCTTCTGTATAAGGCTTGTCCTCTGAAATCTTGTCTTTAATACCCCATTTTCGCCTTTTCTTTTGCTTAAGAAGGTTGACGATCAAGAAAACGGGTATCAGAAGATAACTGCTGAAAGAAGCAAAGAAATCAGTGAGGTTAGTTTTGGACTAACATTATTCAACATATATTTGCTAATAACTCATGTTAGGAATGTAACTTTGGAGGAATTTCTTACAGGTTTTAGAGCAGTCATTACGGCAAAATGAAATCGTTTTGGAGCAACAGCGCCAGGAAATATTACCTGTAAAGCTATCTAACCAGCAGTCTGCCAAAAAAAACACAAAGCCAGCTAAAGAGGTAAATAGAAAGCAGTCAATTGTTGCTCGTTTTTTTTCCCAGAACGGCTTTAAGGATTTTTTAATTATACAAGTCAAAAGTCCCCATCTTTACCCTTTCAAGGAAGGTCTGTTTCGAACATTCTTACGACGAAGCTTTTCGACACGTCGGAAGAAAGTGCGAGCCCCAAATGTACCTGTCAGTAAAATTGTCTTGGAAAACGAATTGTAGAGTAATTACGAGAAACCACTTTAAAACTTGCATAGCTTTGTAATTGGCAATAAGTTTTATAATTTATTCTTCAAAAAGGTGTAAACAAGGAGACGATTAAATAATTATTTAGTTATTTTAACTTAATAGAATATTTTAATTTTTGAGTTATTGTTTTAATATATTGCTATTTGCTAAAGGTACTTATAATTTATGGAATAATAATAATTACTAATAATAATAATATTGGTTATGAACTGTGTCAAGTATTTTTTGTTATTTAATTGTATTTCTCATTTATCTGTTGTCGCATTGACAGTAAGCAAAGTTAATCTTTATTATGATTTATTTGTGCTCTAATTACCTTAGTACTGTTGGAGTGTTTGTTAAAATCTAATAAAATCAATGGAACTCTACTCGATCATCGATATCCTCAAAGTTTCCAACAAAAGTGAATGTGGAGAGATATTTTTAAGTGTTGGCGGCTGCCAAAATAACAAGAAGAATATGGCCGATTGATGTTGGTTAAGTTTGTCATTTGGTGCTTAGACTAGTTCGCGGGTGTGCGATTCTTAAAGTGATGGTTCAATTTACCAAGGAATCATAGTTTAACTGACACTTAGGGTAACTGGCTGCATTCAAAAACGGCATGTTTTATGCAGAATAGGTGATTCCACTAGAAAATTTTTAGCTCCTAGTTTTTCAGTGACTCAGGTGAAAGCAAAAGTAGTGCTTAATCTCGTCCGACGGGAATTCAGCAATCCGTGCAACAAAAACGGACCTTAATTTGTAGATAGCTTGTAGTTGAATATAAAATTGCCTACCACGGGTGTTTAGGGGATCAAAAATGTGAGTAGAATTTTTTATAAAGAATAAAGGTAAGTTACAAGGTAGTCTGAGGATACAACTAATACAGCCGTTTAATCCAGAGGAATATCGGAAGAAGCCATAATAACAGTAATAAGAGCTTCAGTAACCAATAACCAATAACAATCTTTACAACTTCCTACTTCCTTTTATACTATTCTCTGAGTTAGCTTTTGCTACAAGCAAATTAATTGTTATACAAAGTACATGTAAAATTTACACAGAAACAAATTACCTATTCTTAAAGAATGAATCAGCAACTGTCAGTTTAATTATCTGTTTATTACACCTTTAATTATATTCCGGACGAACTGTTTGATTGATCGCACTTACTTGGGTAATTTCCCTTGTTATTGGTGTCCGGTCAATCTTCTGTTTCCCTGCTTCGAAGGTGGACGTTTGTTAATGTCCTTATTAATCATTATAATCTGTATAATTTTTCAGAGCGAGCTTTATCGTTACAGTTAATTCTTGTTAACAGTGGTCAGCCGTTCTTCCACAAATCCAGTGATCACCTTATAGTGCGTAGTTATCAGTCATGGAATGTTCCAAAACTGTATATTAAGCCACTGATTTTGTTGTTTTCATCTCTTTGACCTTTATTTTTTGTTGGTTGACCTTTTCGCTTGCTTCTAGCGGCAGTCCGATCTGTTCTCACGGTGAACCTGCAAAATTAGTACTGAATAAGCAAGAAACCTGCGGAGATTTTGGAAAGGGCATCATAAATCGCTAAAATACGCCTTTACAAACAAATTCAAATACTATACACTCCTTTCAGTGCTGCGCTTTGGTGTTTTTTCTT